ATATATATTATTCTATATTATAATGTAATATAACTATAACTATAGTTGTGATTAACAATTATTAGAAATATGACAGAAAGAGTTACTACTTCAGTTTCCTATGGGAGAATGCTATACTGGAAGCTTGTATAGCAAATATTTTAATGGAAATGTAGCCAGTGACCAATCTTAGAGTATATTTTTATTTATAAAAAGTATCTTTTATATTTCTTACTGTAGTTTTACATATCTAACTAAAGATAACACTTAATATCTTGCTTCTCAAATAAATGTATTTTGTTTCATACATATTTTAGGCATTTTATTGGAGAGAGAAAAAAAGTATTTTAGCTCTAAGCGTCCTTATTGGCGTTGGTGTTTTCGTGCTTAAATGCTGCAGAGCCCCAGAGGTCCAAAACACCATTGCCTGGCTGAAACTTCTCCACATTTAGAGTTTGTTAGTTTCTTGGAAGGATGGAAAAACTAAAGCATAATGGGCCGGCTAGCTGTCCCTTGAGTATGTGTGTGACTGATTGTTTCAGAGATTATACTTTTACTTGGGCTGACATCTAAGCGTTCCCAAATTTAACGAGACAATATTTCCTGGTTTGTTGTATGATCGGACACTGAGATACGCCCTTGTTTTGACTGCTTTGGACATGGCTGTCAAATTGACCTCTATTTGGTTCGTTCAGCTCTACCATATGACATATGTTACATACAAACCCTTTGTGTAAATATGGGGTCAATGACCAGTCGTCTTGTTTTAGACCGCTCTAGTGGTGGTACGCAGAATCAGGGTGTGTTCTGAGAAGCCTGGGAGTGTTTGTGTGTGCTGACTACTGTAGGTCATAAGCATCATGTAAACTCAGACACCCACCTGGAACTTTCATAATCAGCTGGCACGACGCCCAGTCCGCCTGTATCTCTCTCTCTCTATTGCTCGCCCTAGCTTTATTTTTTAACCTAATGCATACACTTTGATCCTTTCTGACTCACTCTATCTTTTCCTTGCCCACCTTTCCCACCTTATCTCAGTCTTTACCTATGAGCTGACACTCTAATCTTTATGATCCTTTCATCTAGTCATTCACAAGCACGTACACAAACACGCAAAGGTTTAATTTCACCTCACATTTGGCAAAAACCCAGATCACAGATGACAATAAATGAGCTTTGGTACAGCATAGATCACTTCACTCTCAGGACTCCATCCTGATTTGTTTTTCTGTTTTATCTACAGTATGTTACAGAATTGGCTGGAGATTCAAACCAAAGCATAGTTAACTGACAACTGCAAGATGTAATCTTGCAAAGATGAGCATCTGGGTCTTGCGTTTGCATAGGATGACCTCAGCAGACTGTGGTAATCTCTAGCTTTCATGTGCACATTTAAGCTTTTGTGTGTGTGTGTCTGTGTGTGTGTGTGTGTTTGCCGTCTTGAGTCCAGGCAGGGTCATCTGGGCTCTGAGCTGGTTCAGGAAAGGTCGCTGTGTAGTGATCCTATTCAGTCCCTGCTGTCAGCAGCACTGACCTCTGTGCACAGACAGTTCTGAACACACACACACACACTCAACTGAGTAGACAAAGGTTACATAAGT